TCTGAGGGCGAAAGGGGTCAAACACCGTATTAGTATGGTGTTCCTAATAATCCTTTAGGTGAGTGTATATTTGTATGTATACCATTCATGCTATGTACTTACAAAGGCAACTACTAAATTTCATTGTATTTGCATAATCTCACTTGCACAAAGACAAAAATTAATCTCGTATCAGTTAGCATTATCTCCACAATGTAAAATAAAGCACAGAAGCAAGCTAATTCAACCTTACCCATCGTTTGCACTGTACCCTCGGCCATTATCACATCTGCACTTGAGAGCATCACAGTGCTGGTACACCTGCAGTAACTCCCCATATGCATTTTCCTCAAGTTCCCATGATGCATCTCTGTATAAAAAGGGCACACAGTACCAAAGTCAATACCATGTCTGTGTCAGTAACTTTAGAACGAAAAAAAAAACAAACTTGAAAACAAAATTGAATTACCTTTCTGGTATGTGAATTCCCATCCGGAGCATTTCCTGTTGAAATTTATCCTTATTGTTGCAAATTGTACACCTGAAGAAGAACATGGCAGCACTGTTTGCTTGGCGCTGAAAGTAAAAAGGCCAAATGATTCTCAGATTAGTTTTTTACACTCAGCATAAGCTTATAGATTTGCTTGAAATCATAAAGGTTTAAAATTTGTGTTTTAGAATGTCAGAAAAAAAACCCACACTAAAAACATCAAAACAGAAAAAAAATATCTGCCCCCTAGTCCTTGTAGTCAGTAATGAATTGACAAGAAAAAAAATGGCTGAATATTGCAATATTTATTAAACAAAGAGGGGCATATTAGTCCTATACAGTGCTCATATACTCATCCCTGTGACAACATAGCCAATACCACATGATAATGTATCCCCGATATCATTAATGACCAAATTATACAGAACCACAAAATAAAAATGCTAATCCACTTTTTCCCCATTTAAATTAAACAAACAATACTATGCCCGCTTGATGTTAAGAAAGTGTCAGATTCAAGATGCAATTGCTTCTTGAGATTTTGGTTATTTGCGAGACGGCAATGAACAGTTAAATAGAAATATTTTTGGAGCTAGCTCGAGCCAAAAATATAAATACAGTGGTACCTCAGAACTCAAACTTAATCTGTTCAGAACTCCAGATCGAATCTGAAAAAGTTCGAATTGTGAGATTTAGATCGAGCTCTAGGTAATTTTTTTTCTAACTGCTTGGTTCGACTTCAGAAATTTGAGTTCTAATGAGTTCGAGAACTGAGGTACCACTGTACTGAGAATGATTTGGATCACATGAAATCATATAATAAATATTGGTGATATTTAATTTGTGCATACTGCATTTAAGTTATTTTTAGGTTCCAAGGTTTTTGTCTAGGATACGCCGCATATCTGTCTCAGCAACCAACCTGTCATGAGTTAGCTGCCCCTGTGACTGTGTGACTTTTCTCGCAGTAACTTAAAATTTTTCAGTGTCATTAATTTTGCATTTTTAAATATGAACCCAAGTATTATTAGCAAATTTTCACATTTGTGGGTGATCTTCTGCCCCCAACTGTCACATATGTGAAAGGGTGCCCATACAATATAGTAACATATTAAATGGGGATATAGATCGCTACTTTTAATATGAATTGGGTTACAAGGCACAAGTCCAGTGTTCCCCCTACCATTATAATGGGGGGGGGGGGGGAATATTATATACACATTGTATTAAGCAATATGTAAGGGCATAAGTCAAGAAGGAGCTCATCAGCATTAAAACTTCACCACAGCATGTTTATGGGTGGGGGGGAAACTGGAGAACCCAGAAGAAACCCTAAGATGAAAAGAACATGCAAACTTCACACATGTGATCAGAGCAGAGATTCAAAACGCAGGGGTGTTAGGCAACAGTGCTAACCACTGCTGTACCATGCCACCTCTAGACAATTGATAATGTTATAAATAAGCTAAATAGCTGTACCAGTAATAAATGCATTGTGTTTGAGATGCCTGTTCATCTGTAATAATGATAAACCATCATAATAAACCAGTTTGTAAATTGCATTGAAACTAAGCCTCAGATCAAACTTGCTGAATAAACACGGGATAAAAACAAAGAACATAAAACATTTACCTGTAAACAATCCCGGTGAAACCAGCCACTATGACAACACGGACATTTGAGCACTGTGTAGGACAGGACAGGCTCTACAGATTCTAAGCACACAGAGCAACAGAGTGGGTTGCTGGTGTACGATGACAGGGGCTGGATTTGAACAGGACGATGGTCTTTACAGAAAGATCTATCGAGAGAAAACAGATTACTCAATCATTGTATCATGAATACATATACTACTACTTGCGTATATTAAGCCTGTTTTATACCCACTGCTGACACACACACACTTTAGCGTACCAGAGTGCCTCTTGCTACCACGTACTTTGATGCCAGGGTTGGGGTGGTGCTGTAGGGTAAAGCTGCTGTTAAGCCCATGTTTATGAACTGTGGTATGGATGTTTTATTTAATTATAAGAGTATTTTGCCAAAATTAACATTTCATTATGTGCTTATACAGCAGAGCATGTGAGCGGAGCAGAGCGGTCGGAATTTAGTCAGAGCGCGGAGTGGTTTTTTTTAATTAAGGCTGGAGCGGTCGCTGTGTCTCGCTCCAATTTCGCTCCGATACCGCTGATTCTGAAGCGTGCCCAAATCTACCCAGAATTCATCTGTACAATTATCAAGACTATTACAGAAATTGGCCGAGAAGGAATTCGCAAAGTATTTCACAAAGGAAACTGATAGATCATACAAGTGTAATATTCTTATCAAACGTATAGATGACAATAATGTAGAGCAAGAATAACAAGGTGGTGAAACTGTTTCAGTGAGTAGATTCACTTTGGAATCATTTTTCTCAGAAACACGAGAGTGTTTTATGCGAACAGCCGGAAGCCAGAGCAAAAAGTGAGCAAGTTTTATATGGTTGTAGTATAAGTCTATAAATTAAAGTATAAAAGCCTATATTGGTAAATATTGGTAATCAAATAAATTTGTTTTGCCATTCAAAGTAGGTCTAATAGGATTTTTTAAATTTCACGTAATGCTGTTAGTGAAATTTTATTTTATAGAGACGCAGCAGCAGCATCAACAGAAAAAATTGAGGAATTTAAAACGTAGATGCTTAGCCTATATATTCTTTAGACTATTAAGACCATTGATTCCTTTATTTTTAAGCCTATTTTTGTGTGGAATGCCATTGCCAAACGTGTCCGTTGTTGCCTATATATGTTGCTTAAAAATCAATATTTTCTGAGTGGCAATGTTGCCATTGCTCATATTTCTTTATGATACAAGGCTTCGGTTTAAGGTGACATTTGTTAGGCATGCAGATTATTTGTCCCTCTTTTAAATTGGAGCGAGTGTGGAGCGATTTCACTGGAGCGGGAGGAAATTTTAATGGAGCGAGGAGCGGTGTTGAGCGGAGCGGCGTAGTGCGAATTAGAACGGAGGAGTGGGCGGAGCCAACAGCCTAGTGAGCGAGGAGCGGAAATTCTCACCGTTCCACTCCGCTCACATGCTCTGTTATACAGTAAAATCCACTCATAACGGACTTCAAGGGACCTGGCAAAACAGTCCGTTATATCCAAAGTCCATTATATCCAGAGTTGCTGTATGCCCAGAACACAAATACAGGACACGATTTACTCATGCCACACCCCAGCAGATATACTTGTGGTGTAGATTATTATATTGTACATGCAGTAATCCAACTTTACCTGACCAAATGCGTAACTATTAATAATCCCAACTACGTATCTGCACTAGATATCACTGGCACGCCCATGCGCCTTGTAGGCGAAGCCTGCATGTTCATTACAGCCGGACAAAACTACAGCTAAATCAGCCATGGGAACCAAATTGTTTGTCCATTATAAGTGAAATTCCATTATATGCGAGTCTGCTATATCCGATGCTTTTTCTGCATGTTCTTAAAGGTACACAGCCAGGACCAGCAGACCTCGTCCGTTATAGACGATGTTCCATTATAAGAGAGTCCACTATAACAGGATTTTACTGTAGTTTTTAAGAACACGGACAACTATATTACACTGAAGTTTCCAACACATATTTTATTTTAGTTTGCAGCCATCTGAGATTCTTCGTAATCCTGAAGCAAGGAATCACATAAATGCTGGCATTTTCAGACATCCATAGCCATTATTCAACTCAAATTGCCACATTTCTCTGATCGGAGAGGGTAGAAAGTGTCTATATTCAATTTTTGGTCCAATCTCTCTGATTTCCTGCAAAATTTCCCCCAAGCCAATGAATGATCAAGGTGTGTCTATTTCACAGAATGGCCCATTGTCCACATTGTTTTGATTTCCAATTGATAGGTGCTAAGCCTGAGTAACATAACGATATTAATTTATTAACGATATCAGGCAAATATCCTACTGTTGATATCTGACAGTGACCAACCAGCAATTATCCCCTATGTCCAAAAAGTAGGCTAGGACTACACACAAAGTAAGAATGATGTATGATTTGGGTTTCAGTTGAGCTCTGTGCTAGAACTGTTTTATGATCCCTTCTGCTCCCGCTAGGGTTTTTACTTCTGCTGCTAAAGAAAACTGTGAGTGCACCCAGATAACATTGTAGGCACAATAGAATATGTAAAATTTTGAAGGGGCAATTCACCACAAAACTGAAAAAGGTGTATTTTAGAGGATCATTAGTGCTAGCAAGCCATGTAGGTTGTTCTGCCTGCAGTTGCTTAGTTTTGGAGATACTGGATGTAGAAATGTCAGTCAGCCTTTTCTGGAATATAATGGGACTGAATGACATTTGTCTGACGGACGGACGGACTCCACACACCAATCGGCAGCATCTTCTGCACAGTGAAACATTTGGTATGGGGAGTTCGGTACAGGAAAATGGTTCCTATGTTAAACTGCTCACTACAAAGTGAATTATCTTGAGTAACCAGGTCATGATTTCAGGCAAGAGGCATTACTGCTTAACTTTTCAAATGTATTTTTTGGTGCTTTCATCACCACAGAAAGAATGCCACACATTCCCATTATATTTGAGAGAAAACCTTTCTACAGCCGGTATTTCTCCAAAACTAGGCAACTCCTAACAGAACCAAGATATACTGATAGCACGAAAGCCCCTCTAAAACATCTTTTTTTCAGTTTTGGGATGAAGTGCAACATTAAACAAGTTCTACTAACATTCCAGGCTTCTTGCTGTGCAAAATCAGTTAAAATCAAATCATCAACTTAATGTTAAACTAGTGGTTTGCTCAGGTCACCAATAATTGGTATTGGCTTTGAAAAAATTTATATTGGCCAATCCCTAATAATAATTATAAATAAGGATAGATTACAACTCTGCTACTGGATTAAGGCTTAGTTTTACATTTCTGTATTCACAACTGTTATTCTATGGAAAAACACTGTTCTTCACCGATAAGTTATAATTCATATAGCCCTAACAAAACTTAATGGCAGAAATCAACCTATTTTTTTTATATAAAGGAAAATTGCTACATGTCAATGTGAAAGACATACTTACGGAAATTGTCCAGTGAACTGGAATATAAACTCTTGTTGGATTCCACATGGCAAATGGACCACCTTTCTGCAGCTTTTAATGTTGCAGCCAACCGAGGCCCCCTTCTTCTTGCAAGCGTTACAGGTCTAGACAGAGTCAGATAGTTAGCCTAATGAGAAAATCTAGGCCTAAAAACTAAACCAGATTACGACAACTCTGATAAATTTCAAATGACAACAGAAATTGTTTATATATTCACAATATAAAACGGCCGCCTTATCCGTGTGGAATATGTTCCGAGACCCCCAGCTGGTGCCTGAAATGGAGGATAGGCCTAAACCCTATAAATACAATTTTTTCCCTATACATGCATACCTATGATCATTTAATTTATAAATCAGGGACAATAAGAAACTTACAACAGAACATTTTTAACAATATACTGTAATAAGTTATGTGAATGTGGTCTCTAAAAATATCTTACTGTACGGTACTCACCCTTCTTCACAAGCAATGGTTTTTAAATGAAGTTTATTTAAAAGAAAAAATAACAAAATGGTCACTTGAACATACCGCTGCCATACAATGACAGTTGATCTGATATCGACTACTAAATGATTAATGGGAGGGTAATGTATAAAGCATGGATACACTGAACAAAGGGATGAATGACATCCTGGACTGTGCGAGACTTCATCAGGCTACTCAGAAAGGCACACGATTTAAAATTTAATTACTTCTGAAATTTTCCATTTAATATTTTCAGACCACAGGTAACTGAAATGGCAGAAAGCAAAACCACGGATAAGAGGGGACCACTGCGAATGTTTACAACCTCAAAAAAATTAAGACCAAGTAAACTTAAATTTAAGACTTTAGAAGACTATTTAAGGCCTTAATTGGTTCAACCCCAATTCAATACGTTTTAAGACATTTTTATGCCCTGCTTGTTGATAAATGAAACTGAGGGTGTAATGTGATCTGCGAAACTGATCAATGGCGTGCCTGGACCTCATCTTGTAAAAAAGTCTTTGAAAAGTGCCCCAAAACACTTTAGGTTACACTTTATACTATGATTATTAAAGAAGCAGATTAAATACACAAGATTACTCTATTGAAAGTTGTCCTACAAAATAACCCTCCTCTTCTCCTCTCTCGTGTCCCTCACACCATCCACGATTCATTTCAAAGGTAACGTGCAGGTTAATTTGTTTTATGTATTTTTACTTTATATTTTGTATTAACCATTTTTATATCAACATTTTTGGTTTGTGGAACGAATCATCTGAGTTTCCATTATTTCTTATGGGAAAATTCGCTTTGATATACGAGTGCTTTGGATTACGAGCATGTTTCCGGAACGAATTATGCTCGGCAAACCAAGGTACCACTGCACTACACTGTAAAAAAAAAAAAAAAAAGAGGTAATTTTACAGAAAATAACCGTCATTTTTTACAGTAGCTTCTCTTTTGTAAAAGCTGTCTGCAAAACTCTGTAAAATTACAGAAATTATCCCTGAATTAAAAAACCAACCTTTATTTTACGCATAATGCAAGTAATGAAAAATTACACGTATTTCACATTTTTAAAAGGAAAAATACTGTTTTTCTCAAATTACGTACAAATTTATGTAAAATCACAACATTTAATTGTAATTTAAAAAGAAATTCATAATTTAAAGATTTATGACCATACTAGAAATTGAGCATTTCTCTTTGTAATTTTGAGGTAAATCCTATTCGTTTTACATTACTTTGACATTTAACTTCTAAGTCCAATGTTTTTTTAAATTACTTTTAAAAAGATTATCCAGAATGGAATTGCACAGGTGAGGCAGCAGTAGCCCCTCATGCTTATGTAGATCAGCTCCATGTCTTCCAAAATCATGAATTAGTACATTTAGAGGACTGATATACTCAGCATCCATGCATGTGTTAGTCCACCCCCCCACAATCTAAAAAAATGAGACCACATCATCACTATTTTTTCTTTTAATAACTTTTGCATATTGTGGGTGTGTCTATGTAAAATGTATAGGTTGCTTTATATGCACTAAAGAGAGGTATTACATAATATTGCCATAAAAAAACCTTAGTTGAAACCGGCAAAAAGTATGAACGTGAGTTTATTTTGTTTTTCTGGATGAACTGAACTTTTAATTAGTTAACATGAAGTGTGAACTTGCACTCATTATTGCTTAAAACACTATCAGGCTATCATAGCTCTGGGTCAGTGCTTCAAAATCTAAGCCAACCGTCTGCGCGCATGCGCACAGCAGCCCAACCGCTTCTAGCTCAGTGCACAGCCCGCAGCCTTGGCACAATTTTCAAATCGCGCCACTGATCTTCATTTTGAACAGACGCTCCTCTTAAGCATTTGACGGCGAGTAACGTACGCTGCACAACCTGGACCAACAG